CCCTAACCTAACCCTAACCTAACCCTAACCTAACCTAACCTAACCTAACCCTAACCTAACCCTAACCTAACCTAACCCTAACCTAACCTAACCCTAACCTAACCTAACCTAACCCTAACCTAACCCTAACCTAACCCTAACCTAACCCTAACCTAACCTAACCCTAACTTAACTTCTCCTAAATAAATAATCAAATCTTACATAATCAACCCCTATCTCTCCTACATAATCCCCTACTACACTTATCTCCCCCTAATCCTATCACAACTACATTACCTCCCTCTACTCCTAATCCTACTACCTATCCTAATCCTAATCCTACTACCTATCCTACTACCTATCCTAATCCTAATCCTACTACCTATCCTACTACCTATCCTAATCCTAATCCTACTACCTATCCTACTACCTATCCTAATCCTAATCCTACTACCTATCCTACCACCTATCCTATTCCCCCTAATCCTACTCCAACTACCTATCCTATTCCCCCTAATCCTACTCCAACTACCTATCCTACCACCTATCCTATTCCCCCTAACCCTACTCCAACTACCTATCCTATTCCCCCTAACCCTACTCCAACTACCTATCCTACCACCTATCCTACTACCTATCCTACCACCTATCCTACTACCTATCCTACCACCTATCCTACTACCCATCCCACTACCTACCCTACTACCTACCCTACTCCTACCACTTATCCTACCCTATTCCTACTACCAACTCTACCACCCAATCTTACTACACTATCACTCCTATTCCTATTCCTATTACCTACACTACCCTATTCCTAATTCTATTCCTATTACCTACACTACCTACCCTATTCCTAATCCTATTCCTATTACCTACACTACCCTATTCCTATTCCTATTCCTATTACCTACACTACCCTATTCCTATTCCTATTCCTATTCCCATCCATACCAACTACTCCACCTACCTATCACACACTACCCTACTTACAACACCTACTCTACCCTATTCCTAATCCTACTACCAACTTTTCTTTTTTCCATCTACTCCATACTCTATTCTCCTATTACCAACTACCCTACATCACTTACACTACTACTACTACTCTCCCAATCCTACACTATCCTATCATTCCTACCAACTACACAACCTACACTACTACTATCAATCACTACCAACACTACCCTACTTACCCTACTTACAACACCTCCCATTTCCCCCTACACTACCCTATTCCTACTACCAACTCTACCAACCACACAACACATTTCCAACTACACTACTCTCTTATTCTCAACTACCCTACCAATTCTACCTACACCACCACCACCACCACTACTACTACTCTTTTCCTCCCACATTATCACTTCCTTATTACCAACTACACTACCATTACTATCACTACTACTTACATTCTCACACACTACCCTATTCCTATTACCTACAACACCACTACTACCTCTCTTTTCTTCACTCCCTACTCTATTCCTATTCCTACTACCAACTTTTCTTTTTTCCATCTACACCACATTCTTATTTCCATTACCACCACTACTCCTATTACCAACTACCCTACTTTCTCTACCACAATTTTCTTCCCACCCTACACTACCTACACTACTTACACTACTACCTCAATTTTCTTCCCACACTACACTACCATTACCCCCACCACCACTCATTACCAACCACACTACCCTATTCCTATTACCACTACCATTACTACCACTCCTACTGCCACCACCACTACCACTACTTACACTACTACTACTACTACTACTCAAATCATCCCACACTACCCTATTCCTACCAACTACACTACCATTACTATTACTCTTAATACCACCACCACCACCACTACTACCACCAATTTCATCCCACACTACACTATTATTCCTATTACCAACTAATCTACCCTCACTACCATTATTCTCACTCGCGGGGTGTCCACGGCGTTATTTCCACATTATTTACCGGGGTTTTCACGCGGGTTATCGACGGGTTATTTACCGGGGTTTTCACGCGGGTTATCGACGGGTTATTTACCAGCGTTTTCACCTGGGTTATCTCCACATTATTTACTGGGGTTTTCATGGCCGTTATCTCTGCCTTATTTACCAGCCTTTTAATGGCCATTATCTCCAGCTTTTCTACTGCCATTTTCATCCCAGTTCACTCCCCATTACTTTTCCTACTTCTCGAACCAACTCACTAATCTCTAATCTCTACTCATCATACAAACTACTAGTCTGTCTTACCACTCCACATAACCAACCAGTCCCTTATTTTTGCTAGTCATATTCAAGTCAGTCCCTAGTCAGTCAGTAGTTACTACTACATCCCTTCGTAGCTAGTCCACTTTTTTTGCTAATCAACTCACTACTCATCTTCAATCCAAATAACCAACCGGTCGCTTATTTTCCTAGTCCCTCATCAGTAGTCAGTGGTTCTTGCTAACTCCCCTTTTTTGCTAATTACTTGCTAGTCATCTTGTGTCCAGATAACCAACCAGTCCCTCATTTTTTGCTAGTCATATTCAAGTCAGTCGGTAGTCAGTAGGTGCATGCTCACTACTACATCCTTTCATAGTCCACTGTTCCAAATAAGCAACTGCTCACCTATTTTTTTTTTGCTATTTGGTAGTCAGTGGTCATTGCTAACTCCACTTTTTTTTGCTAATTACTTGCTAGTCATCTTGTTTCCAGATAAGCAACCGGTCGCTTATTTTTTGCATTCTTAGTGGCTGTGCTGCTTCCCTTCACCAACTTTCTGGTCCCTGTGTATTTATTTCCTTATATGGTGGTTGCATGCAGTGGCTGTGTAGGTTTCATTCAGTGGCTGTGAGGTTTCATTCACTCACTAAGAGGTTGCATGCAGTGGCTGTGTAGGTTTCATTCAGTGGCTGTGTAGGTTTCATTCACTCACTAAGAGGTTTCATTCAGTGGCTATGTAGGTTTCATTCAGTGGCTGTGTAGGTTTCATTCAGTGGCTGTGAGGTTTCATTCAGTGGCTGTGTAGGTTTCATTCAGTGGCTGTGAGGTTTCATTCAGTGGCTGTGAGGTTTCATTCAGTGGCTGTGTAGGTTTCATTCACTCACTAAGAGGTTGCAAGCAGTGGCTGTGTGCTTGCAACCTTCCTTATTTGGAGGTTGCATTCAGTGGCTGTGTTGGTTGCATGCAGTGGCTGTGTAGGTTGCATGCATGCAACCTTCCTTATATGGTGGTTGCATTCAGTGGCTGTGAGGTTGCATGCATGCAACCTTCCTTATATGGTGGTTGCATGCAGTGGCTGTGTAGGTTGCATTCACTCACTGAGAGGTTGCATTCAGTGGCTGTGTAGGTTGCATTCACTCACTGAGAGGTTGCATTCAGTGGCTGTGTAGGTTGCATGCATGCAACCTTCCTTATATGGTGGTTGCATTCAGTGGCTGTGAGGTTGCATGCATGCAACCTTCCTTATATGGTGGTTGCATGCAGTGGCTGTGTAGGTTGCATTCACTCACTGAGAGGTTGCATTCAGTGGCTGTGTAGGTTGCATTCACTCACTGAGAGGTTGCATTCAGTGGCTGTGTAGGTTGCATGGAGTGGCTGTGCAGGTTGCATGCATGCAACCTTCCTTATATGGAGGTTGCATTCAGTGGCTGTGCAGGTTGCATGCATGCGACCTTCCATATAAGGCAGGTTGCAAGCGGACCCTGGGGCAGGGTCCGGAAAGTAGAATATTAGGTCTTCAAATAGCTTTCAACCCACTTGACCAAATGATCCTTGAATGTCCCTTTGATGATCTGGTGTAGTATATCACAGGCAATGAGTCGGTATATATCAGCACAGGGAAAGCTGCTGGTGAATGGCTGAAATCAGTTTTCAGGACACAGGCACAGTAGAATCTAAGTGAAACAATACTTACAATTGTATCACCCACAATGCCATATGCATCCTGCAAGGTCTTGAGATCAAACTCCTCAATCAACACTTCTGCATGTTCATGTCTCTGATAAAGTGCATCAGTATTGAGTTCCTGCCTCATTGCAAGACATCTGAGATTCTAGTTATTTGATAGTAAGAGTTGGAAAGTAGAAAAACATACTTTGCACACCACCCTCGCACAATACATGCCAGAAGGACTTGTTCCTCATAATTGGTGATAGAAGGGCCAAGTCCAAAAATTACATGGCAATAGTGTCCATCACTGAACCACATAACAGTTGGTTTGGTCATTGCAGGCTTGAGATTTTGAAGGATATATGCAAGTGATGCATGAAAGAGTTGGTGGTGGAATTGTTGGAATGTGTTGGTGGATGCATGCTCTTTGTCAGCTACAAGTATATCTCTCATTAGCACCATTACTTTCCAATGTATCTATCAGATGCACTTACTATGTGGGATTGCAAGGAAAGCAATGAGAGCAATACTATTGTGATGTGCATGATGAACTTTGTTGCTTATGTTACCTATTGAGAAGTAGAGGGGATAATAATCATTTTGACTGGTTGCAACTGACACAGTTGTCTTGTCACTGCCAAGGATGATTGGAATGAAGGTTGACCTGTGTGTGGTTGAATCATGAGAAATTATGTCCTGTTATTTGCATGTCATTAGTACAGCACTCAGAGACATAGAAGATAAATGATGCATCACTTGAGTCCATGCCCAATCACCAGACATGAAATCCTCCCATTGTCCCTTGTCCATTGTGCTCTCATATTCCCAAAACAGCTGGTAATCCATGTCTCTCGAAAAATTGGGTCAGGAAAGCATATCATGAATAACATCTTTAGGGTCCTGGAACCAAATATTGTACACAGCATTCATCCATGATGGGACATTATCAGTTGGTCATTTGCTGGTATAGGATATGCAAAAATTCTCCCACTGTACATCACCAAGTATAGTGCAATCATCCATCTTGTACATTTTGGCACTATCTTTGAAGACAAGCTGTCTGCCAGTGCTGAGAAGTGTCGCATTCCAGAGATCTAGTAACTCATTAATATTGGCTGCAGACATCTGGCTGCAGGTGAACAGAAAGTCAGCTAGCTTGAACTCCAGATGACTGGAGTAACAGGAGTTACTGTGGGACAGCAAAGATTTGCTGACTGAACAGAGAATCAAACTAAGCCAAAAGAGACAGCAGTGGGCATACCTTTTTTTCTGTCTCTTTGTCTTCCACCTTCACACACAGCCAATGACCCTTTGCACTGCAAGATATGGACAACCAACCAGCTGTGGAGTGCCCACAGGAGACACTTGCGAGTGGTCGCCTGAAGCACCAGGTGGCTAACATGCATCCTGGTAGGATTGTCCTCAACAGCCAACTGAGAAGACAGACAAGTGCAGAGAAGGAAGCTAACAATGAATGCACCCAGGAAGCCCTTGCCAAAAAGGTTGCAGTGCTGAAGAGAGGTTATCAACAGATCAACAAAATCAAGGATGAAATGGAGGTCAACCAAAGTGGTGTTGCCACCAGTGCTAAGCCCATCAAGCTGTGTCCTTGTCCTCATCCTCATGCTGTTGGCAGGCAAAGAAATGAGAGTGATGGCAGTATCTATCATGCTTAACCAAGAAAACATGAGGCTGATTTTTTTTGTAGGGACAAATGAGCCACTTACCCACCTAGCTGATGTGGAAGACAATGTTGGACCTGTAGTGATGAAGGGGAAAGGGACAAAAGCAGCAAAGGCAAAATCACTGCATGAAGCAATGATCTCCACTCACAACAAAGTATCCCTGCCATCAACACATGACAATAGCATCAGTGCTAGTACTGGTTTGATGTGTGTCTTACTTCTTAACATGTTCCTCCTAACTGAGGCAACTCTTTTCTTTGCAAATGTCCTAACAACTGCCAGCTCTGACAATAAACTGACTTTATCTAAGCATGTCAAAAATTGGGTGAACGTCATCAACACAAGCTCTATGTGATCTTCAGGTGCCAGTGCCAGTCCTCACACATCAGCTGCACCACCTCCATCCACAAGTACTACTCATGTCAAGTTCCATGTATTCAATCTCAGCTCTCCACTGCCAAATGATCCCCAATACAACTATGAGTTCAAATCCCAACTACCAGAAAACTTCAACTCACTACCTGATCACAAAGATGGTGACCTCTGGCTTTGGACATCCCCACTCTTCAAAATGTTATTGTTGAGAATCTTTCATGCTGAAACAGTTTTTACTCATGCAATGGTAGTCTTAGTGTGCTGCTGCAATGGCCAAGGATTATGAGGCCAATGATCCTGCTGCCAGACTTGCCAACATCAAGAGGAAAGTAGCCAAGTTGGAATACATCTCAACCCCTGAGGTTGAGGGTGATGGTGTTAATGATAACTGTGGCAATCTAGACAATGCCATCCATGTTTTGGGGCACAAGAATGCTGAAGCCAAGGTATGTGCTGACCACCCTTCTCCATGTTCCTTCATCTTTTATTTTCTTTCAGTTGTGCATCATGGTTACAAAGGGCATGCCAAAGAAGATCAAGATACAAGCTTGCAACTCTATGTCCAGCTTATCAGCCACATCTACCAGCAAGAGATCTGGCATAGTGAGTGATTCATCAAGTCAAGTGCAGACCATCCCTGTGCAAGTGCATTTCAACAATTCAGATCTCCCCTTGGATCTGCATAAAGATCAGAAGTGGAAGAGGGAAGTTATTCCAATGCTAATCCTATGGGCCAGAAACCAAGAGGATGCATTCAACATTGCCAAGCAAGATATTTCAGGGCTCTACAGGAGATCATGCCAGTCATATACCCCATACTCAAGAATATGGCAGGTAGCATTCTTCCCAGTTCACCCATGGTTTCTGTTGTAAGTCCATTTCATTCTGGCTTCATCTGTAGCTGACCATGTTCACCATAGGCATCTCAATGCTTGTGTGATTGGAGGCACAGCTTTGCCTCTGCAGCCATTGCACAACTTGTAGCTTTCTTCCTCAATCCTCAAGACTCATTGCCTGCTGACACTGCAAAACTATTACTCCATCATTTCACATTCTTATATGAAGACCTCAACATGACTGCTCCTTAGAAGGCCTTCCACCCATTTCTGTGCAACAGCTGCTGCTGAGCAGTCATTTGACTGCAACCAAAGGATACATTCAAGTCCCCACTCTTGACACTTCGTCTTTGGCAAAGCATGGTGTTGTTGGTGCTCTTGGACTTTGTGTGGCTGCAGTAACATTTATTGAGTCATTTTCATAGCTACAGTATTGATTAGTTTTTTAGCTCTCACATGGCTTGAACCTTGTTAGATCTGGTGACATTGAGCTCAAGTCCCCCATCAATGTCAAAGATGGTATTGCCAAAGTGGCAATGAGGTTTGTGCAGACCCCTGTCAAATACAACATGGCTTCAGGCAAGGATAGCAAGACTGTGTGCATGTTTTCAGACCAGAATTGGGGAGCCCCAATGAGGAAGTTTATGGGGGCTGCCAAAAGAAGATCTATTGCTCAGCTTCAAGCCATCATAGAGTTTGCCCTTGCTTCACTCGTGATAGGGCAAGAACTTGACCCTGAGCTGTTGAGTGATGCAGGATCTGACAACAAGTATGCACTTATTTGTAGTTTTTCATTCCCTACTGCTTATATGATCCACTGAGTCCACAACAGGATCTCTAATACATCTTCCCAATTGCTATCACTAGTTGGTCTATGTTTTTCAATCCCTCAATCCCACCGCCATGTAATTGACTTCACCACTACTTAGCATGTGCTTAGCAGATATTAATTGCACTTCATTGCTGCTTATCCGCTTGATGGAACAGAACCAACATTATTTCAAGTAAGAAACTAATAAGCTAAGCACACATTAAGTAAAAAATAAGCAGTGCTAAGTAAGTATCCAGCAGGAGGATCTACTTATTCAAGCAGATGGCTGCTTGGCAGTTGGTATGATAAGCAAATGCAAATGTTAAGTAGCTGTCAAGTAAGGATAAGTAAACTTGTGATATGCTGATGCAGGGTAACTTGTCTATTTTTTCTAAAGGAAAAAACCATACACAAGTAGCACTACTGCTGACTAAGCAACCAAAAATGCGAAATCTAAGTGCAACTCATAGAAAAAATTATCTAGAATGAAAATGAAGTAAAATGAGCAAAATAAGGCAATTCCCCTGGTAGGGAAATTACATTCCCTACACCACTTTGATCCAGTGATAGCTCCACCAAGATTTGACATGCATCACCACCCCCTAATGTAATACCAGTGCACTTACTCAGTTTCTGACATTCTTTGACTTGTGCTTGATATTTTGACTGTCCTTGACTTGTTTGTTGTCAGTACTTACCAATCTTCTTCACTTGCTTACTTTTCATTTCTCACTTACTCATCATGATTACTCATTGCTTACAGTCCTTACTCATTACTTACCAAGTGTTTGCACCTTGTTTGTCACAAGCTGTGCTCCCTCTACAGTATATAAACCCCCCTGTACTTAGCTACAACTCAATCAATCAATCAGAGAATCTCAGAATCAGTCAGCCAGTTCAGTTCTTCTCAGATGTACCTCATTGTCAACAGTTGAGGCTCCACAAAGGGGTCTATCTGTCATTGCTCATCATCTGTGGTAGTTGAGGCTCCATCAAGGGTCTATCTACCCTCATTCATTATCATCAGCTTTATCCACACTTAGTCAGCATCCCTGCTTAGTCATCCATCAGCTCCTGCATAGCTTGTAATCAACTTCTGCCAGGAGTACCTTTTACTGAAGATCCCCCACTCAGATCAGCATCCCTCACCTTCTTACTACTCATTCATCCACTCCTGCATAACTCATCAATGACTTGTGCTAGGAGCACCACCTGTTAAGAAACTCCCACCTTTGATTTTTCTGCCCTCTAGGTTCCATGGAGGTAAACTGCCACTCACTTGTATTTGTCTTTTGTGTTGGTTTTGGTTGGTTCACACCACCTTTCCTCACTTTGACTCACACTGCTGACAAATTCTCTGCAAGTAAGGTCATGTATCTGATGGTGGTTTGTGTTGCTATCTCCTCCACATCAATGCCACTGCATGACAGAGTTTTGCATGTCAGACAAATTTGAGGTGCACTGGCCCTACAGGTGATGTAAGGTCTCTGGCAGTTCATTGGGATTTGAGGCATTGTGACTTGTGAGTATGTTTGTGGCAGCTGAGACATCAGACCAACTTTATCTCAGCCACCACAAACATACTCATGAGTTATAGCAATGACATGGGCCTCCTAAGTCCACTGCCTTTCATGCCTCCACAAATTTCCTTGTCCTGGCAGGTTACCTCCTCTGATACCATAATTTAGCAACAGGATGGAGTATATGAGTTTCAATCTGGAGCAATGTTTATTTATTTTTATTATTATTATTATTATTATTATTATTATTGGGGGAACATGCATGGGAATTGGGAAGCATTACACAAGTTGGAAGCTCACCATAAGTCACCAGCTACAAATGTTCTAATGTTTATATATTGCCCATCTTGAGAGCTCTACAGCTATGAAACCTAATGCAATTCCTAGAGGCATGTAGACCCTGAGGCAGGATCTGGAAAGCATGTTACTATATAAATTACCCTATTTCACTTATGTTGCAGAAGACATGTCCAGATTTGGCAGGGGAGGTGTGGATCACTTCAAGAACCATGACCATAATTAGAAACATCTGGGAACCACTGCTGGAGGTAGGGTCTGTTAGATACATTGTTGCTGTCACAAAATATATATCTAACAGACCACCATCCCTCCAAAAAACTGCTGCCTGAGGTGGTGAGCAGCATCCCTCCTCCTAAGTCATGGGTAATGGTGCTTGCTGCATGTGTCATTGGGCCTCCTGCCCCTACAACCTGGGGATTCACAGCTCATGCCCACCAGCAGGTCACCACTGCCACTTGGGGCTGGAAAGCACTTCGCACTTCCCCCAGTCACTATACTCTCCCATACCACACATCACATTACCTTTACCTTTACATCATTCCCCTGTACCTATGCCCATAGCTACACTGCCTTTTATCCTACACCCACACAACCTGAGCAACAGCCAAAGAGCCACCACCATCCATCAAGCCTGTTGAGTACTTGCCCCTGCTCTCTTCAATGCCTCCACTTCTTGGAGCAACTTCTCAATCTCTTCCTGTGCTGCCTGTGCCCTTTCCTCAGCCACTTTGCATTGCTTGCATTCCTTCTGCCTTTCCTGCTCAGCAGCTTCACATTGCTTGCACTCCCTCTGCCTTTCCTCCTCTGCCCTCTTCACAGCTTCATCTGCAGCTTGGCATTGTTCACATTCTTGCTGCCTCTGTTCCTCTTGCTGTTTGGGACATCATAAGCACTGACAGTAAAGAGAACTCAAAGACAAGTTACCCCTTGTTTAAGCCTGCACTGCTGTTCAATTTTCTCAGCTAAAGCAGCTTGAGCATCATGATACTTGGTGCACACCTCTTGCCTGCTTGCCTTGAAATTGACTGATACCCCACAGATCATACCCACCTGATGGGGTGTGGGATCTTGCTCAGCACCCTCATAAAGTATGTTGAGAGCGTCAAACACAGTTGTGGCGAACCAGTGGCATTGTGTGTCATGAAGGTTGTGCTTGGGCTCCTGTGCTGAGGTTACATAAAGCAAGGTCGCTAGCTCGTTTGCAGTAGGTTTTGCACCAGTAAATGATAAAGTACAGACAAGTCGAGGCCTGTTGCACATCCCCTCCACCCAATCGCCTGCTGCACTAATACACATTGCGAAATAAACGTGATCACAGGCATACCGCTTGAAACTGGAGGAAAAAGAAGCTGCAAATTGAGCTGTATTTGTCTTCTGTTTTATTTTCCCATCACTCTTAGTAACTTTGTCTAGCAGAGGACTGCTTTCATTGGCACTACTTGCAGTGGGATTGCCAACATCAGGTGAGAGTGCAGAAGTCTCTGGTGGAGTGAGTGGTGATGCCGTGGTGTCTACCATTGTGTCTGCTTGAGCAAGGGTATCAGCAGCTTGTGTGGTGTCTACAGAATTGTCAGCGGCTTAAGTTACTAATGAATGCGAGCAGAAGTACCGGAGTTTGGACTATGAACACCACCACCACCCCTCTCAGCAATGACAATGGATGTGTGCTGATTGTTGGGGGAAGAGATGTCAAACCACAGGAACTCATGCTCTACCCTTTTCCCCATCTTGTACCAGATGGCTGGGATGAACTACCACTGGAATTCCTCCTGCACAGCTCCTAATTCCATAATGCAATTCAGTGCGCAAGACTAAGTTTCACTCTTGTCCAGCTATTATGGCAATAATAAGGATGACTCTCTTTGTACTAGGTATCATTGTGGTAACCTACCTTCCATTACCTTCCATTGAGTTGGGGGAATGAACTACGAGTGGCATGCCCCTTTTTTTTTTTGGTCCATAGACCCATTGGAGCAGGGAAGATTGTGGAGGGGATAGTTGCATCGCAATAGACAAAGAGGTGTAAAAATACAAAATACTCATTGGCATCGCAGATGGGGAGGCATTTGCGCAAGGACTGGAATCAAGAGGGAGAAAGTGGAAGTATGGCATCATAGTCTTTGAGGAATGAGACTCATTTCGATTGTTGGGATCAGCTCGGATGGGGAGTCAAGCCTACATCTGCAAAACTTCCCAAGGGAATGAGTAGCGTATAGGTGCCTCTGTTTAGCTTCCCTTGCTCAACCGCCCCCCGACATGTCACATGATGTCACCTGACATACCAGCCCCAAGTACCATAATCTGAAAAAGCAAGAAGTATGACAGCGAAACGGGCGAGCTATAGCATACGCACCAGTGAGGTATCACCTGGGGGAGGGAGAGGGGAGACCCTCGAGTGACAACAGCTGGGGGGATCAACACCAAATTATGGCAGATGGTAGGGAACCCGCAGATCTACACTAGAAACAGGCACCACGCCATTTCGACCACCCAGTCAAGAGCTATACCCAAAGTTGCCTCACCACCCCCTGAATACAAAAACGGGCATATCTCGATAGTGGCTGCGTGGAAATGGATGAAAAATGTATCCACAGGAAGGGTAAAGCGAGGGGAAGAAACTGCCCAAAAAGCGAGAGGAACGGCAGAGAAACGCGTGAGAGACTATCTCAAGTCCTCAAAGGTGGGGAGAGGAGAGTCGCCTGAACAACATCGGCTGGGGGGATCAACAAAAAACACTGGGAGATCGTAGGGAACACCTCTAAGAGTGCAGAGAAAAGGGAACCACACTAACCTGATCACCCAGTCACGAGGTATGCACAAAAACATTGCACAGCATCCCTAACACAAAAACAGTCATATCTCTATAACAACCGCACAGAATTGGATGAATGAAGCGTCCCCAACGATGGCTGAGTGAGGGAAACAAAGGACCCAAAAGGCGAGAGAAATGGCATAGCAACATGCGAGACACAACGACGAGACCTCAAGGGTGGGCCTTCCCACAAATATGCTGGAACTGTTTGACCTGTCAGGAAGATTCTATGACCAACAGGAAGCTATCGCGATCCCACAAAAAAGCGAGAGATGTAGCACAACTTGTACCTATTATATTTATGGCACACATATGGAGTGCATTGCCAGTAACAGTTTTTTTTTACTGCATCGTCCACACCACCTGCGTGTTGCCGCTATTCTTAATTTGGAATACTACCGGTATATCACGTGATGTCATGTGATATGTCGGGGGGTCGTTGAGCTAGGACAGATCCTCCATTTGGAAGTGGCTTGTCGTAAGACTTCTTTTGCACTTGGTGAAACACTTATTGGCCAATGAAAAGGCTTGCTCAAGTGCTAAAGAATTGTCAACAGCCACGTCACATAGCTGGTTCCCAGATGTAGTAGATGGAGGGAGGGAGAGTCTGACAGCATCTCAGTTTCATTGTCTGCATGGTGTTCTGGCAGTGCATGGGATTCAGAGATTGTTTGCCAGGGAATTTCATCAATACAATGCAGATAGCATGCCCAAATCACTGTAGACAGTCTCCAAAAGGCTGCACTCGAAGGAAGAATTGTACTTACCTGTGCTACAGATTGTGTAAGCATGCTGAGGCTGTGGTGGTGCTGTGTCCTTCGACATTCCTGGCAACCCTTACATCCACATCCTGCCTACAGTAAGTTTATCAACTGGACATTCGAGCTGAGAAAACACAGAGAACACCTACCACAGAAGGTAAGGTTGTCACCCACATCTTGCAGCAACATTTTTGTCTGGATTTTCCTGTGATGGTATGTGACGGTCACAGGACTTGGTCACACTAGCAAGAGTGTTTCTGTCGAAAGGTCTCAAGTGTCATTCATCAGAACTGGCCAAGGGTCTCTCAATAAAAAACTGCCCCCTCCTACCTACTACATGAGTCTTTATATACCTATGTACACAAAGGACTGTACTGAAGAGGAAGTATCAAGGCTGACATATTGTACTTGGTTCCATGGTTGTATCTGCAGGAGCACAGGTTGTTACATTTCTGTTCCCATCGGAAATTGACGTCGCAGTCATGATGCCACTCTCATGCAGTTGTGAGAAAAGTCGTTGACAATGCATGCCATAGCTGTATTGGCTCACTGCTGTCTCACTGACTTGCTAGTACTCCTGTCGAGGTCATATGCCTTTGCTGCAAGGACAAGTACAAGTGGAAGGCCATGTGTGACAAGCAGTATCATTGTATGGCAGGTTCAGTGCTCCTGTGGTCACGCGTTTCGAGCCCATGGCAGTCACCCCTTCTCCAAATTGTTGCTCGTGTATGACCCCATCAAAAATTAGAGTGGTTAACTCATTGATCAGGAAATGGCTGCCACTCGTTGATTGCTTTCCCACTGAACTCTTGCTATGTGTTAGGTACCCAAGCAGTGTCTTCTAAGGGGAAGCAAGATGTCAGTATAGTGCTATGTGGCTGAGGGATACCTAAGCTCCCCAATCCTGTGGAGCTACACTGCACGTGTTGACAATAACAGCATAGCAGTCTAGAAGACCCATTTAAAGAGGAGCAGATGCTGCCTAATCAATGTGCTGAATTGGTTGATACTGTGGGTCATGACCCAACCCCAAAGCAGACTGCATCTTGGAAATTGGGTGTCATGCTGACCATTCAAGATTTTCTATTGGAAGTGGTAAGTGATTTTCGATGTTCACACACTAGAATGATGTCCCTGTCCTACCAGGTGCTCCCCTTTTGTTCTTTCATGAAAAGGTTTCCCTTGCATCGTGAGGGACAGGAGATTTTTCGACGTCAACAAAGTCCACCTTGACAACCCACTGTATGATGGCTATCAATCCACAACAGTCGCCTCTCTGCCCTAACTGCAGGTTCCTCCATTTTCAAAATGCAAATCATTTGCCCCTGCGATAACTTTCGATCGAGATCCAGACTTTTATGTTGCATGATCATCCATTGATGGCAGGTTTGTAGAGCTCTGGTTGCTGGAGCATGTGAAGGAGCTTCAGGGGTTCAAGGGTCTGTGGCTTGTTTTGTATTTGACTAAGCACTGAAGATCTATTAAGGCATGTTCGTATCTGTCATGTTGTTTGAACATTCTCATCATAATGATCTTTGCAACAAATCACACATAGTGTAGTCACATTTAGTCACAACACATGGGCAGCCTGTGTGCCAAAACACCAACACTCATATAGACCCTGAGATGGGCCTGCCTAAATAGACTAGCCAGTACACATGGACAGGCCTGAGGGACTAAAGTGAGAGCAACATATGTATGGGCCTGTAAGTGCATTACCACAACATATCGGAGGGCCCCTGGTGGGTAAGGATGTTGAAACATTTAGATGGACCCATGACCGATTAAGTATACTGAGTTGCTGTAAGACATGGACAGGCATATCCTGGTAGGTTACCCCCCTGTTGCAACATCAAGGCAGGCCTGCCTATCATAACATGGAGCGGGTCACAACATATGGATGGGCCCAGGAGTAATATCATTTATGGTGTCACAACATCTAGACAGGCCTGTTCATAATAAGCTGTACCCCTGTTGCAACATAAAGATGGGCCTGTCAGTAATGTTGTTTCATAATGTCACAACATATAGACAGGCCTGTCAACAGTAAGATGTACCACTGTTGAAACATAAAGATGGGCCCATCACTAGTATCATTTAATAGAGTCACAACATAAAGATGGGCCTGTCACTAATATCATTTAATAGAGTTGCAACATATGGACAGGCCCTTCAGTAGTATTATTTATATCATCACAACATATGGGCAGGCCCAGCCCCAGTAAGATGTACCCTGTCAAAACATAAAGACAGGCCCATCACTAATATCATTTAATAGAGTTGCAACATATGGATGGGCCCTTCAGTAATATTATTTATATTGTCACAACATAAAGACAGGCCTGTCAATAATCTCATGCATAGCATCACAACATATGGGCAGGCCTGGCCCCAGCAAGATGTACCCTGTCAAAACATAAAGATGGGCCTGTCACTAATATCATTTAATAGAGTCACAACATATGGATGGGCCCTTCAGTATATTATTTATATTGTCACAGCATATGGATGGGCCTGTCCACAGTGAGATGTACCTCTGACAAAAAATAAAGATGGGCCCATCAGTAATCTCATGTACAGCATCACAACATATGGGCAGGCCCAGCCCCAGTAAGATGTACCCTGTCAAAACATAAAGACAGGCCCATCAGTAATGTTGTTTAATAGCATCACAACATAAGGATGTGCCCTTCAGTAGTATTGTTTATATTGTCACAACATATGGATGGGCCCATCAGTAATATCATCTAATAGCATCACAACATAAGGACAGGCCCTTCAGTAGTATCATGTATATCATCACAACAAATGGACAGGCCCATCTAGCAAGATGCACCCCTGTTGCAACATAAGGACAGGTTTGTGTATGGTATTCTTAGGCAGCAGAAAGGGAGATCCAAGCTATCTACATAAGGACAGTCCATGTAAGGCATTCTTAGGCAGCAGAAAGGGAGATCAAAGGGATCTACATAAGGATGGGCCCATCCATGGTATTCTCAGGCAGCAGATAAGGGAAAACAAAAACCAGTGTTACAACATAAGATGGGCTGATCCATCCATTGCAGGATTACAAACCCTTGGCACTGCATAAGACAGGCCAATCTGTCATATCATAGATAGCTCACCACAAATGGACAGGCCTATCCATAATTGGGTTATCCCCCTGTCACAATATAAGACAGGCCCAGGAAGACAAGAAATGAAGAAAGTGGAACCTCTTGCACTATAGAGTATCTGAATTTCCCACTATAATTTGTGTTTCACATTGGACAATTTGCCTATTTAGTTGGAATCTCAGGCACTGGTCTATGTAGCTGTGAGCCAGGCTCCACCATTGGAGCAGATGGGAAACATGCAAAACAAACAGCAATGCTATTCCAGAACAATGCATCATATCTTTATCTGAGCTTCTGCTTCACATATGCATTCAGGATTATTGACTTGTACCAGTATTGCCATCATGCCATGGGAATCATTCATAGGCAGGATAAAAAATGCAACATCCATGTATCTTGTCATCTGTCTTTAACCTCTGACTCTTCCACTCTCCAATCACCATCACCACTCTCACTGTCAAACTACTCCATTGTCTCATCATCAGAAACATGTTGTCATCATTGTCTTGCAAGCTCTTCAAGAAATCACCTGAGCTCAATGCTGCAGCCAACCACATCCTTCAAATTTACTTCAAGGATATCATGGAAAGCAGCAAGCTGGGAAAGGCGGACAAGATTGCAAAGTGGAGAGGTGCAGATGCTGGACAGGATGGCTCATGAGCTAGTGGCTCTGCATATTTGGGTATATGGACAAGCATTGGGTGACAATCTCATCAATCTCTTAGGGCCTCTGGCAGATGAGACAAGGGCGGATGGGACAGCAGGGTGAACGAGGCCATCTATCATTTTACTTCTCCATGGCACATACAATGTCATTTTGTATTTCCATTTTAATTGACCACTCATGCTGCATCACATATTCAACCTTTATTTAAGAGTGAGAAAAAGACAATAATGGCTAGACAGCCAACAGAATTGCAAAGGATAATCTCATTCTACTAAAATAACTGCTAATGTATCCCAATAGGTGGAAGCTTAGCAAATGCATGGCTTTTTGACATAGAATAGTTAACTTGGAACTTAAAAAATGAGATAGCGGGATGGTCCCATTCTGCTAAAACCAGAGCTGATGGAACCTGATAGACAGAACCTTTGCAAATGAATGGACTGTGTGATATGCAATAGCAACCTGCCATTTGACACAAATGCAATTAATAGTCTGATTTGGCCAACACATTTGAGTCTGCTAATACAGCTGCTGATGAATCCAAATAGACAGACACCTGGTGAATGAGCGGGCTATGCTATTTATGGCATTCACTTGAGAGTTACAAAACAAGATAACAGCTAATAATAGGATAATGATGCAAAGAAAGATGTCAGCCTGTGAAAACAGCATTCCATGGATCCCAATAGACAGAACCCTTCCAAATGAGTGGCCTGGGCAATATGCAATGTTGATATGAACTGTCTCAACCTGCTAACATGGCATTCAATGGATCCTGATAGATGGAACCCTTCAAAATG